GCACTTTAGCACCCGTCGACTCGAGCACATGGCATCGCCGGCCCCAAGTACCTTCAGATTCTTGTTTGGAGACGCTGCTACGCACTCACGGAGAGAATTGTCTGAAGGTCTTATGGCGGACTGTATGTTTTGGGCTCGACTTGCAATATAACAAATCCCCATGCGCTAGAGAAAGGCAAGCCAATATTTGGTTTTCAAAGGATCAATTAATATGATGATTTTCCGTGACGTACAGGTATCACTGAAAAAGGCAAAGCCTCCTTAAATTCTCATTAAAATTTCACTGCCAGTGATCGGCGTGGGGCTTCCTCCGCATCGCTTTGATGGGCTACTCTGTCATACAACCCTGCCTCCCGCTGTGTGGAAAGCTTTTTTGCTGAATCCTCTTCACACTCATTTCCTTTTGGTGTCTTTTGACGTCGACTTTTTCAAAATCCTTATAAATTAGAAAAGCTTTGTATCTCATATGGAAAATGATATATACCAGAGAATGTTCCGACATCTGCCACGCAAATAAGCTATTCAAGATACGAATATAGACGCGTGGACTGACTTCCAACACGAAATCGCTCCATCAGAAATGATCAAAATGTTCAACAATGACACTGAAATTATAGTCGCTGAGATTGAGTTCCTTAGAAAGGTCAGTTATACCCAACACTTACGGATACCATCTTCTTCTCTTAACACACTGACGACAACGTGACGCGCTTCCGCGTCACATTATTGCATGGAGAAGACGGTTTTTCTTAATTTAATCGGAATTTTTGGACTTCTGAAACTTACGTCACCTATGATGAAATTATCTACTAAGAGGAAGGTGTTAGAGAAAAAATATTAAAAAGACTACGAGAGCTCGCACTATCGGCTGCCGTCCTTGGGACCTACTGACTAATCCCTTTGCTACAAGAAGTTTATTCTCGAATTCAGGCATCGGAACTGCATCAAATGATAGTCAAACTAGTGACGATTCTCGTACAATCATCTGGCGGAGATGTGCAAAGCGAGCAGTGCGCCTTCTCGACGATATCTATGAAAAACTATCATACTGTATTTGTGCATAATTATATAGTTCCCAGTTTTCAGTCGATCATATTTGGGACAGGAGCAATTGAGAACGCGAATTTATATTAGGTTTGGTCAGAAATTCCTGGGGCACCGCCGGGCGCGTGTTCTACGAAGGCTAAGTCTTTGGTGGTGTTTTCTCTGGCAGGTTCTTATTATTTACAACCTTCACTACAGGGCTGGATAATGGTCAAGTCGAAATTCTCGGCCATGGCTCTATACTGGGCGCGCAGTGACTTGAGAGTGACGTCACGCGCGCGAGAGCCAACAAACAAGCTCCGCCGCACTGAGACGAGTCGTGATGTCTGCGTGGGAAGAGGTACCAGTGATCAGAGCGAAAGTACACACTCACAGCGTTGCGGAAATCTTTTGAACGATGTACTTCCCTGCCTCCCACTCACCAAGCGTGGTAGCCCCTTAGACCCTCTGCTGTACAAAGCTACCACAGACGAAAACTATACTTTGTCAGAAAATAAAATCAAACGTCCATTTCTGACACCATTTAGGCTCAACACAAGCTACAGCGCTTCCCTTCGCCAACAAAGGACGAGCCAGGTGAGCCGACGCACATTGGTACAGCCAATTTGATGGAATGGACTATCTCCATGCAGCAACACGCAACACAGAAGTTAGTGTCCTTCATTCTGACGCCATCGAATACAGACACACGGAGGAAGACGACGGGAGCGTTGTGGGCTCAAAGGTTTGCAGCCCGACGATCCGTCTCTTGAATGAATATTTGCTAGCTCCCCCTATACTCCTTGGTACGGGCTGAGTCGATATACGTCGCACTCCGTCCTCGAGTCCTCGTGGCTTCGCTCCTGGCAAGCTATATGTAAATTATGATAGCTTGCGAACTCTACATGAATCGTCCCTTGTTCCCTTGACCGCCAATCACTTTCTGAAGATTTGAGCTTTACCACTTGCTGATCGGCTGGTACCTCGGAGACCCAGTGCTATGCGCGGACGATGAAGGACTCACGCCTCCAATTTCTTATCACACGAATTTTCCCTGATCGGTAGATGTCGATAGCGGCTCACAGAAAAAAAAACAGACTTTATTCCTGGTTTCTATCATACTCCTAGGCCGGTGCTATAAAGCTGCTCATGACTGATTTCCGTATCGGCTGCGGCATTAGCAGCTAGGGGTTCCAGTGCACATTTCCTCCAATATTTCAGCATGGCATGTGCGGGACTGTTGTGGCTGTAAGTTCCGTTAAACACTGATGGAGCTAATGGCACGTTGAGCGAATCATATATAAGGATTTGTCATGTAGATGGCCAAAAAAAAAAAAAAAGAGACACTCAGCCCATGGCGCACATCATCGAACTTTTCGTCACACAGGGAGCCGATGTTAATGAAAGTTTTATGGCGTTATATTCCTTAGTTGTTCCTCCGTAAACAGAAGCAAGCACTCCTTCACTGCCCCTGCCGTCTCCAGAATATGACGTCATCTGCCGTCACCGTCGAGCTCAACGAGGCTTACCGAAATCGCTCCGACCTGAAGCTGCTACACAATTTCCTCAGTGAATTAATTGTTGAATAGCTTCCAGAGACATTAGCTGTGAATGTGCAAAACCGCTTTTGACCTGCGTTTCAGAGACGTCGTAATCGTCTATGGTATCTCGACGACCTCGTTGAGCTCGTACCGTGAACCATGTTTCCGTGGGAAAATCTTCTGATGTCGTCGGTGTAGAAGGCTGTTGCTTGTTGATAGATTATAACGTGCTCTTCAATATTCAGTTGGGGTCATTTGGTTTGGTTTCGCAACGCGTAAATAATTCCGTTTTGAATGTGAGTGAAGTGTCTCTTTTTTTTGGCCACCCCTGTATATAGCTCGCACTGCCCTCTCTGACCACCGGTTAGACTATACCGGAAAGTCAATTGAAGGAATGATGGGGAACCGAAAAAACATGAGGAACGTCAGATCGTGTTTGGTTTTGATGCGGGATCAACGCAGCTGGAATTCGACATAAATTTTTTAAAACTTCTGAGGTCCCTTGGATATGTCATAATAAATATAATCATGTCGCGACATTGGAAGTATTTTGTCAAATGACGGCTGACCCGCTCAGATTCCTTCTCGACAGGTCAATAGAACCTGTGTAGGTTTTCTTTTGATAAGAAAAGCCAAACCCGAATAGTATATAACTGCGGTACAACGTTGTTTGAGAGCGCTTGCTCATGCCTATATTGTGATGGAATCTTAGCTCAGCCTGACCATCAGAAGACCCTAGTTGGCACTCATAAAAATGAGGTGCTGGATTAGTTTCCAGAAAAACCAAGCCACTGAAGCCAACACCGTCGAAGCTGATTATCCTTTCAGCTCGGCCGAAGTGGTTGCCACGAGGCAAGCCTTGTTCTGAACCTCCATGATTTTCCTGAAAATCATGGCATTGAATAAAGGGTGACCCAGAAATTTCTGATCGACGTAATATTGGCATGTACACCGTTTATAGACATCGTACAGGCTGCACCAAGGCTACTGAAATGAGAGTAATCTTCCTTTGTTCGGTTCAGGGGATTCTGTGGAGTTTATGGAGTATAGATTCCTGGGCGGTGAAGCGACAAGTACAGACCATCTCTTTCATCTCTTCCTTTCCTCGTTGATCAATTGCTGCCTAGCATACCTTCAAACTTTGAACCCCCTCAATAGCTCTTCATAGAATTTGCTCAAAAGTAAATATTGAAAACTTTGAGCTTGAGTGAGGTTATATTATCTTGTGTTGCAGGACTTTTCGCGGGTGATGACCGGTCAACAACAAAGATCGCCAAGATGGAAGGACTGCGCTCAAGTGCCCAGCTCGGTTTGGAATACTTCTAATGTACGCACTGCCCTCTTTTATTCTTCATGTTCTTCAGGTGTTACCGCTCGCAGCTGGTGCAGTCTATGTTCAAGGCTCATTTCAACTCCGAAGACAAAAGAGAAGCATTGGTTAGTAATGAGTGGCAAGTCTTCAGTTGGATTCTGACTCTAGCCCAATTACCAAAACTCTTCATAGATGATCCGGCAAAAAACTACGATGAATCGTTTGCCTGATTTAGTCACTCACAATGATGAGGATGAATCCCAAAACACGGCCTAGAAGGTAAATAAACATAAAGAACTCTATTGCGCTCCAGGATAACAAAATGTTGTAATATGCGCAATCCACTTAATGAGAGGTTGATAACGTGACAGGAATAAACCCAAAAGAATTGTTAACAAAACCGCCAAAACAGTTCTCCCTCCCCCCAGCGAGTCATTAATTGCGGCGATCTATCCTGTTTGGTTTCGAACAGAGATTCCGCGATAGTCGAACCAATACGAAAGGGGGAAACATATAATAGACAGCCGCGGAGCCACCTACCGCGACCTAAGCATAAGCCTCCGCCGCAGGCGCTACTGGATGAGGCACCCCACCCGCTGTTAACCATTCGCAGCTTCCCAACTAAGCGAGACGAGCGTCATGGGGGGGCGTGAAGAGTCACACCGAGAAGTTAAATCACTGCGAAACACACATGAAAGGAAGGGTCCCACTACCTGGTTCTTGGCTGATCTTCATGGCTTCTTCTTCCATTTGGCACCACTTGACCTCCTCTCACTTTAATTCATGGCTCATTCTACTGAACATCGCCTTCAAAGGCAAAGGTCAGGATTGGCGACCAAACCAATCCCTGTCATCATCTCTGTGCGCGGTTATACACCCTTAAAGACGTTGTCACCCTCAGAGCCTTAAAGGTCAGCACCTAAAGCCAGGGGATGGATGTTGCGCCATACCCGGCCTGGCGGCGCTAACTGCCCGCCCACTTCGAATGACGTGGCTGACTAACGTGTGAAATCAACTGGAATGACTGCCGTATCAACCGAATTAACAGAGCTAACACTCAGTTAAAAGCGCCGTAATACCTCAGAGCCTGACTTTGCCTTTAAGTTGTACTTCAGGCTAATTCAATGATTAATAACATTGGCTATCCTGACATCACCAATGATATATCGAAGCTTGACGAGCAGTACAAAGAGGTTTGTTGGTTTGGTTCAACTCAGCACTTTAATGCTTGAACGTAACGCACTTATATTTCAGCTCGTCATTCTGCCCGAGGACACTTATTATTCGTTGATGAAGAAAGCAGTCGTGTGGATGCAGAAAAAAGAATTTCGGAAGTTGTTGAAGCCCTTCGATCGTCATGAGTTTGACGTGTCTCCGGCAGTTGTCAACGCCTTCTACTCCCCTGAAAAGAACGCCATAAGTCAGTAGAGCTTACCCATTTTTAGTTTGAGTTACCCACTAGACCCACCTAGCTTGCATGGTGCGACCACTACTTTTTTGTGCAACATAATTTTGAATGAAAATTTTTGGAAGATAGCTCAACAACATGAAAGTATTCAGCGTTTCCTGCCGGGATTCTTCAACCGCCTTTCTTCAGCGGCTCATTTCCTAAAGCTGTGAACTACGGCGCCATTGGAGCTGTTATCGGGCATGAAATCACTCACGGATTCGATGATCAAGGTTATACAACGATTTTGTCAGCATACCTGCGATCATTTTGGTAAACCACCACGAAACTTTTCAGGTTCTCAGTATGATAAGGACGGCAATTTGCATAACTGGTGGAGCACTCGTTCCCTGGAGGCTTTTGACGAGCGGAGACGATGTATTGTTGAGCAGTACGGCAACTACACTGTACCGAAAACCACATATAAAGTTCGTTTTTCAGTGAAATTGAACTGACATCTACTACTCTGTATTGGTAAATTTAAGGTGAACGGCAAACTGACACAAGGAGAGAACATAGCCGATAATGGCGGAGTCAAGGAAGCTCTCAAGGTGGTCGAGAAAAGGCTGTTAACTTATTTCCGCTCGAAAGTCACCAATTGCAATTTATATAACATTTTTCTTCAGGCTTACAAGAAATACGTTGCGACGAAGGGTGAAGAGGCGCGTCTGCCAGGACTTCAGCACTACACCAACACCCAGATATTCTTCCTTAGCTACGCTCACGTTAGTTTTACCCGCATATATTCCCAAGTTCTGCCATTCCTCCCATTTTGCAATTTTGGCTATCTTGGCCTGATTTGGGAAGAGGAAAATTTATCGAATGCGCGCACGCGACACGCGTCAAGTGACATCATAATAGTTGTGCTGTCGAGGATTGAGCAATGGATTTCACTAGGCAATAATTGCTCTCATTCCAGTTCCAGAAGTACTTAAATTGGGAAAACAAAAGGAAAGTAAGGGGATCGTATAAGGGAATCACGAACATGGTGGGCAAGTGTTCTCTAGGAGGTTTGGAGATTCATGCTCCGGTTCTTATACACAGGAAACCTCACGATTCAACTTTACACCTTGACGACAGCGCGGCAACTATGTATGCCACACCCTTACATTTATTTTTTGCGCACATGCCCGATTTCTTCCCAAGTTTTTTGTGTTCATTTTATAGGCCATACATCAACATAACCAAGAACCACGTGGCTTACAGAATGGCCAAATATTCTTTAGTTTGGCAGAGGTTTTTGGACTGATTTTAGTTCACTCCTAATTTTCTATTCATTAACGCGAGCATATAGTAAAATAAGAAGTGAATATAAAGACGTCGTGTGGGAGTTCTGTTCTATCTGGAAAAAAGACACGTTTAAGTGATATTGAACACTCGCGAATTACTAAAGTGGCAAATACTGCCATCATCGTGCTCTTTGAAACGTCATTTTGCTAACTTCCTAAAGTATTCAAGAATCAGTACAACTTGAGGATTATGAAAACTTGTGGCATCTGACCATACAGCATGCGTTTTCCAGCTTCCAATCAGGAATTTAATTGAGATCTTCGGCGCCGCAATATTGCTCTAGTCATCGCACGCAAAACCGAACGCGGAATGTCGTCGACGTGTTGAAAGACACGAGGCTTAGTGGACCCAACCAATCCTTTTGGCAGTCTTGTGCTCGCTCCACTACGTCCCACAGAGACTGTTAATGCTCGAATCCAAACGCTGCGATGTATGAAGAGGGTTTTGTTAACGGCCTTGTCGACGGTTTTTCTCAGTTTTTTCTCCACTGTCGTTCCACTTCGCATCTCTATACTCAGTTTCAATCGCCATAATACCCCTTATTGAGCCCGACTTTTGCCTTTAAGCAGGAGAAAGTGGCTAGCTAGGGAGGTGTATTGAGAAGCCACTGGTGGGTGAGTCGTTTGTCGAGGTGGTGTCGGGGTTGGAAATATAATAGGAAATCCCGTTGCTCCTTTCTATATCAGAGCTCATAGTGGCGGGCATCATACTGCGCTTTTTGTTCCATACTATACATATGATAGAGCATCTATGTGGAATTATTCCATCAAAAATGATTCAGCAAAAATCGCGCAATTTTGCGACAACAAATAGATGTTTGGCAATTTTGTATAACTTTTGAAAGTATTCAAATACTGTGTAATAGTTACTATAGTGTATAGTTTCTAGAGGCAGGAAGTGGTGTAGTGGCAAGTGGCGCGCTTACCACGCGAGCGGTCCGGGGATCAAATCCTGGGTCGTGAGTCGCCCGGGCCAACCAAGCCTTCCATCCCTCCGGGGTCGGTTAATTGGTACCAGACTTGTCTGGGAGGAAACTGACTTGTACATCGGCTGGCCCCCGCAAGTCATTGTATAGGCCACATCGCATTCAAATTGCCACTGCGAATGTACAAATGGAAGTAGAATGCGTGCCGCATCCCAAAACGGGATTGATCAACGCCGAAATGCTTCATCCTCTCTTATCTTCATATTTTCTAGTAGTTATATTTATAGCTATAGTTGTTTTTATACTGTACAATGTTTAGTTTTGGTGTGGTCAAAAGAAAGAAGCAGCAGCGATGCAGCAAGTGACAACCGACGAACACTCTCCCGAAATATTTCGCGTGACTGGAGTACTTTCAAACTTACGTGAATTTGCAGAAGCATTCTCTTGCCCTGCTGGGGCGACACTTAACCCTAAAAACAGATGTGTTGTCTGGTGAATCTTTCAAGTTTTACGATTGACGCGGACGATTTAAAGCTTTACAAAGTGAAGGCAGGGATATACGAAATTTGCGCTGTATTGGTCATAAGCTTTAGCCGATTACTTTATATTAATTAAAATTTCACGCTGTAATTTATTTTGATAGAATTAGTGGTATTTTTATGGAGATACGTGTATCTCTCCGGTGCCTACACCTTCTAAAATTATTGTTCATCTTGGATTTCATCACGCTGTTTCAACATGCGCTTTAATTACTCTTTGTAAATATTTGGCGGCCAGGTGCGTGTCCACTGCAGACTTCACATTAAAAGTGACGACGGCCTCCACAAACTGTGGTTGATTTCTATCAACGAAATGTGATTCGGTTGCTGCACTTGAGTGCTAACAGTTGTCGCTAATTACAACTAACATTGGTGCTAACGTAGTTAGAGGGGGTCACATGGTGCGGCGCTCTGTTCGTCTGCGCCTCAAGGCTCGGCCGTGGTTGTCGCTATATTTCGAATTTGTCCGTGGCCGCGAAATACTAACGGCCCCTATGACTAAGCCTCAGAGACACAGACGAACAGAGTGCTGCGCCA